AATGTGATATATTTTCTACTTGTTTCTATTGCAACGGATTGATTATTATGTTGAAGCTGTTTTGAGCCAATGCACTTAAGCACTTTTACTCTTTCTTAACTCAAGGTATTTTCAAAACCCCTCTTTACACCTTGACTAGATTATTGTTTATCACGGATTGATTGCAGTTATTATTTGAGTTTATAATAACTCTATATTTCTTAATGATTCAAATTGATTTAAAATATTTACTAAATATGTTAACCTAATTCTTAATACTAAAAATTTAAATTTTCACTATAATTTAAAGCAATTATTAAATTGAGTTCACTATTTAAATGAAATTAACACGCTTTTGAAAAGGTAGGAATTTTAAAATTTTGCACGTACTTTGTAAAATTCGGTTAATGAAACATTATTTTGCAATCTGAGCTAAAGACAAAATATTAATAAATTTCATAAATGTCTGAAGAACTTTTGGCCCGTGGCAAACACATGACTGTAAATGCTTTATAGCTTTTAGTTAATTACCAAAAAATATTTTTATAATTTTTTAACAAGAAATTTCAACAAGATAAGCATCTGTTAACAGTTCGAGAAAGAGTTTTGAACCGAAATAAAAAAATGTCAACAAAATCTTTTATAAAGCAAGAAACAACTTCATATAAATATTATGACAGATTTTTACAAGTAAACATAAAAGTAAATTTTGAAGACAACATAATGAACGACCTAAAACAACAACAATAGGTAAAAAAGAACAAAAGCAGAAGTAAAAATTATGATCATTTTAAATGAAGTTTTTCTTATGAAACTATCTATCTTATGGATACATAAGCAGAACGATAATAGTTGTTGTTTTTATTGTTGTTCTGCTTGATGCTAAACTTGATGTGGGCTTCAGATATAATCCGAACATTTTTACGCTTTAAGACAAAATCTAAAGCCGACAACAGAGACTTCGCTTTGAGTTTAAAGTACGTACACTCACTCAATGGTAAAATAAAGAAGTCAAAAAATGTAACTAAAGAAAGATATTGCGGATAAAGCTCAGCTTAGAGCAAATATGCTTTTATGAATGAAAACTAAGCGGCACTAAAAGTATAAAGAGCTGCATGTAAATGAGCTCAACTTAGACTGAGACTACCAACTTTATACCAATAAAGATCAGCGGTGCTTTTATAGGAAGATAAAAATGTATCTGAGTTGCGGTTATATATTAATACATATATGAGAATATATTTATAAAATAAAAAGAAGTATCTGTGTTAAAAGTAAATTTTAAACTAATAATGTATGTATATATATAAACTAAGTAAAGTTTTAACAACTACAAATAAATAAAGTGTAAGCATAAATTTACTTAACTATATAAAGAAAACATTTATCAAGTCAAATTGTATGAGTATAAATAAAATTGTGTTTGTATTCAACAAAGAATAGCAATTTTTCTATCTTAGAATTTAAAGTAGACAAATAAAGTTGTGAGAAAATATTTTTTCATATTTTTTTTTTTATTCTTAAACATTTTTCACACTTGCACATTTTTTAGTTTTTAAGCGTTTAACAAATTGAATATTTTTTAGTAGATAATGCCACGAAAAAATCTATAACAATCCTAAGAGATACACCACTGTCTTAGACAAAAGGCGCTGAAACTGTTATAAATTGCAGGCAATTATTCATGTTTTTAGAAGAATATACAACATGCAAGATACAACACATTTCAATCTGTAATTGCTGTTGACATCTATTCATCAGCAACAATTTTAAGAGTCACACGACGAAAGGTTGCCTGCGAAGGTGCATTGCATCACTCATTCTCACATGGATAGCATTTTGAAATATTTTTGTCTTTCTAAATGACAGCTGCGTCGAGCTGCTCTAAAACACCTTTTTAACTTGTTTTTTATATTTTTCATAAAAAAGTCTTTGAAGAAGACTTTCAGTTGAGAATTTAATGAAATGTACTATAGTTTATAAACAGGATTATTTTTATGAAGTCTAATGTTATAGAAATTGGAACTAATATTTAATCATTTTTGTATTCTCAATATAATGACAGGATTATTTTTTATTCAATCTAATGATATTGTAAATGGAGCCCATTATTCAATGAATTAGATCATCCTAATATTATAGCATACTTTCATTAATGATTAGTTAATCTAAAATTGTTGATGTAGCTGATGTATTAAATGAAGTAAGTAATACAGAGTGGAAAAAAAAGAATTTAACAACGTTAATATTTTTTTTTTGAAAGTAATTCCTCTTGTGACAGAAACAAACTATTAAAAGTTAGAAAGATTCGAATAGAAATAAAAAGAGAATAACAAAAATTTAACAACACTCTACAGATGGTTTTTAAAATAATGTTATATAGTGTTCTTTCTATACTTTTTATTTCTATATATAAAATTGTTTGCTAATATATTCATATTATTATATATCAATTATTGCAAATTGAGCTAACGGCGCGGCTATATTAGTAACTGTTGTAAGTTTTTAGCTTAAAGTAAAAAAAAATAGAAGTACATAGTATTTATATATAGATATATATAAATAAAAGAACTTATTATACTCACTATGGCTACCTACTGAAGGCTAGGCTATAATTGTTTTAAGTATAGTCCAAAAGGGATATTATTAATCATAGTGATTTTAAATAAATAAATATATAATGAGACTTACAAATAAATACATTTGTTAGAACTATTATACCCCAGTACAATTAGTATGAAATGACGTTTAACCAAATCTAAAATTAAAAGTATTATTTATATAAATAATACTTATTTAAAAAATGAACATAGTTAATCTCAAAGAATTTTTATAACATAACTTATTATAAATAATGAAAATGACGTAATTCATTATAAATTTAATGAATAAAAATTCATTATTAATAATGAATTAATACAAGTATTTTTTAAAGAAGTCTAACAAATATTTTTTATTGATGTTTATAGACTTTACTTAATTTCAACAAAGTTGCCAGTCTGCCTTATTTTTTCTTATGGATCCTTATGGATTATTTTCTTATGTAGCATAGACTAAGGCCGCATAGACGATTTTCTTGACTGATTTCCGAAAACTGCAACCCCAAAAATTTATTGTACTTTCATTTAATTAATTCGTTGCCAATTGACTGTTTATTCATTTTAACCCAAAAAAGTTTATTGATAATAACTACAGGCTACTAAATACTAAATATCCGTCACAATCATCTATAAGTAATTCAGTCATACAGCAGACGGATATTGACACAAACATTGAAAATTTTGCTTTTCGTTTTAGAATACATGTTTCAAATCTTTCTTAAGTTAGTAGATACTTCTAAGGTATTTAAACTAGTTGACATCTTACATCTATTCCACAAATTGTTCCATATGAGTTAAAACATAAATAAACCAAGTACTATGTCCACAAATTGAATCACAATTTTTTAGAACACTATATTTTCTTTTAATGTGTCCAAATTCGATATATCAAATCATCGATATAGACGACTTAAGTATGCATTATAGCTCTGATTTAGTTGACAAAAGCATCACATGCTGCACAAATACGAACGTCAAAAATCTTTATTTATTCATGAAGAACAACTTTCTTAAGTACACATACACCCTAGTACATTCTAGTGCTGACCTTGGTCTGAAAAATACTTTATATCGAGAAATTGTGCATGTTAGTGTCTAGTGAACTTGAAAATTCGGTCTAAATGAGGTGTCGTTGGTTATATCTAAGTGATTGGTATTTAAGGAGTACTTAGCATAACAGTGGAGACTCTTATTAAAACTTCAAGTTTCCCACCAAAATATTTAGTTGTCTACAGATTCAGAGCACTGTTTCAAAATTTTTCGCAGCAGTTATTTGCATTGATCTTGACACTACGATTTTAAAACAACAACATGTATCGGCTATGGATTACCATGGCCGACTAAATTATAACAAACGGTTTTAGTTTAGTTCTTGTGGGCATCTTAACTTCAACCGTTCTCCAATTTATAGAGCGTGTGAAAATTTTATTAAATCAAAACAGCTTTGTAATAAAAATAAGAATTGTTGCAAAAATTTTAAATGTTCATTTTTAAAGTATTAACAAATTGAGATATTCTCTCTATTATCGAATTATTATTATTTATTATATACGAAAAATTAAAAATAAGAAGTCTTTATTTACGAATAATTAAAAATAAGAAGTCTATATCTATATGGTCAGCCAAAAATTCAATTAATTAAAATAATATAAAACGAAGTTTTGTTGTTGTAGTTCACTACTTGTCGAAACCTTTTTATAAATCTGGTATACCATCACGATAACCTATAACCTATCACAGTAATCGTATCCAGACTACTGAATAACACAGATATATTTTTGTTTAAATGTGATTTTTGTTTAAATGTGATTTTAAGGAAAGGTGATTAAAACAAACTGATGTTTGCAATATTTGTACAAGGATACGTACTAACAGATACGCGTGGCCATTATCTGTACTCTACACTAAATACTGATCTATACTGATATAAGGACACTCATTTCATCGTTATGGCTGAAATTAGATAGGAATTTATAGATTTTATCAAACTGTTTTATCCAGTATACTATTTTTAGTCTACAAATGGATACTATGAATAGATAGTTATATTTTAACACTAAATAACAAGGTCAATATCACATTTTAGTCACAAATAAATAGTTAGGATTTATTCACTTATGACCATTTCAAAATATAAACCTATTAGTATTCAAGATTAGTTCCCTAAACACAGATACAGATTATAAATTATATCTCATATCTCGCAATCATTATACATATATAGACTACTATTTTTATTTTTGTAATATTTAAGTGACTTTAATTTTAAGTATTTATTTATTTAATTTAAGTATTTTAAGTGATTTTAAGTATTAAAGCTTATTTTACTAAGCACAGAAACAGATTTAAATTATATCTCATATCTCGCAATCTATATATTTAAATGACTTTAATTATTAATTAAATATATTTTATTTATAGTATTTTAGAGCTACGCAAAGAGAAATCACGGGATGCAGCGCGTTCGCGTCGTGGAAAGGAAAATTATGAATTCTATGAACTGGCGAAAATGTTACCATTACCTGCAGCAATAACAAGCCAACTGGATAAGGCTTCCATAATAAGACTGACAATAAGCTATTTAAAATTAAGAGACTTCTCTGGGCATGGCGATCCACCATGGACACGTGAAGCCTCCAGCAGCAGCAAATTAAAAAGTAAGTTCAATTGTGAATTAATTCAATATAATTTTATTGCTTAAATTATTAGTAAAAAAAATTAGAAAGTAGTGGTGAAAATTCAACAAGCAATAATAATAATAATAAAACGAAAATTTATAGCCAAAGTGAAAGTAGGTTAACAAATTATTAATATAAATTAATTTCAATTACAAACGTTCTTTAAATAAAAATTGAAACTTATGACTAAAATTATTAAAAAAAAATTAGTAAAAAAAATTTTACTTGGAAGTTTTTGTGAAGACAAGTTTGATTAAAACTATTTTTTTATTTTGTTTTTTTTGTTTGTTTTTTTATTTTTGTGCAGGAAATGCTTTATTTTTAGTTATGATTATTTTACTGTACGATTAGTAATACTCCAATATAGAAATGTACTGAACCCTAAAAATGGCACCAACTCCGTTTATAGAAACCCGTGAAGATAAATAAAATGCACACGCCATTCAAAAAGATTAAAAAAATTAAAAGAAAAGAAATTATTTTCAAAATAGACAGACAAAATATGTCTTGAAAAATAAAAACAAAAATAAAACAATAAACGATAATAAATAATTTACATATGAAGTCGTGGCGGCCATTTTTAAAAAATGGCTGTACTCACTTCCCAACGAAAAAGATACCAAGCGATAATATATAAAAAATACAAATGCGTATAAAGTACACACGATATAAAAAATTAAAAAAAAAAACGGTTTTAAAAAAATCCATTTGCGAAGTAAGTAGCGAAGAAAAGGAAATTATATAAATAAAACAAAATACTTTATACTTTTGTGTATATTTATTTCTTTGATTAATTTCGTTGATTTATTTATGAAAAGAGTATAAATAGGTATATACATATATATATATATTTTCGTCAATGGCCGAGGTTGTGCACTGAATTTTAATTAAATACGTCAGTATGTAAAAATTATTTTTAAGTTCGATTAAATTCCAATTTAAATGTTTTAATTCAATTGATTTTGAAAAAAATCCATTGAAAATAACAAAAATTTAAATATTCAAAGTTAAACACAAATAATAGAAAAATTCCTAAAATCATTAAATAAATAAAATGATTAAATTAAAATTATTTTGAGTTCATTACTAATATTCAATCCATTCTCTGCAGGTTACTGAAATGTATTTCCAGAAATTTCTAATACTTTTTTAAGGTATGCCCATCCAGACACGGTACGGTACATATAACCGTAATCGTACCGCAATCGTGTGGTAGACTAGATAAAACAAATATTAATATTAATATGAATATGTACCGATATTTAATTAACATTTGATTACAAAAACATGTAAAACTAAATATCTTATCATATTAATACCAGAACTTTTAAGATATATGTACTTCATATATAAAAAATGTGTAATTATACTACAAATAGATAAAAGGAAATTTTCTATTTGAACCCTTTTGATAATTATTTACTTGAAAAGATGTTTTAAAAAAAAAAATGCTAAAATGAAGCACAAAAACATTGACAGTACCATACCCTGTCTCATCTTGATTATTATCTTGATAATCTTAGTGTGTTATTTTAATTATATTATTCCAGCAGATTCACGATTATATCGTATGAAATTTTACCGTACTATCCAGTACCGTATATATTCGGATGTACCTTTATACGAGTATTGTGAAGTTTGCTTCAGAAATTATTTTTCGTACAAATATTTTTCGAAAAGTTTTATGCTCAACAGAACGTTGTACGTTTTAATTTTGATATTAAAAATATATGTACAGACAATTTCTAAACAAAAATTTATGTGAAATTAATTTATATTATTTTCCATTAATAATTCTCTACTTTTTAGTGTTGTTCTATCACGAATTAGTTTGCTTTCTTTTTTTAATCGTACTACATGGCACTTTAACATTTGTTAATTTTAATGTACATATGCTTTAAAACATCAAATAAAAAATAATAAAAAAAAAAATAAGCCAATAAGAACTTATTTTGTCATCCACAAAATGCAATAAAAGTATGCCTATGCTTAATATAACCGTCCATATATTTTTCGTAGTCTGATTGAAATATGATTTCCAAATCCTTTAGCATATTTTTTTTTACAACAATCGATTTTAAACGCCTATATAAAACTAACCCTATTATGGTTAATGTACTCACGAAAATAGAAAAAAGTTATATACGGATATTTCAAATGAGTGAGATGCTTAGTCAATCACAATTATTGAGTTTGTTGTCAAAAACTATTGCTTACCTATAGTTTTGTCCTCACAGAATAACTAGAAATGGAACTGTAAGAACAGCTAAGTAACACACTATGTAACAGATCAAGCCCAAGTCTCGTATGGTAACTTAAAACAGTGGAACTAAAAATTGTGTGAAAAGTCTAATGCGAAGCTTCCGTCATTCATTTCAAACATTGAAAGACTTCTTGGTCAGAAATAAGTCAAATATAATTTATTTCATAAAATTAGTCCTTGGCAATACTCAAAATACCTGTATGGTCAGCCAAAAATTTAATTAATTAAAATAATATAAAAAAACAATTTTTGTTGTTGTAGTTCACTACTTTTCGAAAAACTCTTTATTAAATTAATTAGAAATCCAATAATACCAAAAATGTCAACCGATTATAAACTGTACCGATTTCCAACATGAATCACTGATTTTTTAATCTAACAGACTTACCTCAATGAACCGAAACATTATGGCTCTACAATTTTACTGGTGTAGTGGCAATATAAACCTGTGTTTAAACAGGACCAATGGTTTATAGTACTAAACTAATAAAACAACCCACTTCAAAGATGTAAGCAATTAATAGTCATTATATGTAGGTTATCACGTTTCCTGTGACACAAACATCTCAACAAACTTAATATACACTTTCTCATTGTACTTATATATTTAAAGGATGTAAAATATAATACAATAATTAAATGAGAAATGTTAGATTCATTCATTTTAATGAATAAGTAAGATTTAATTTCCTTCGATTTATTACAAATCTATTCTTACATTAAAACACTTAACAAATTCTTAACTCTTTCTAGAATCTTTTCTTATTTAATCACATTTTTATTATATGTGTCACTTGACAGTATTTAATTAATTCAATATAACTTTTAATTGATTTCTATTACCTACTTTGCATACAAAAATATATAAAAGTATATATGACTATACGAGAATGGCTCGCAAAAGGCCATGTCGTATTTTATTATATATATTATAAATTATTTGATGGGAATTTTTCGTAAGTAACTGAAGGTTGAAATTTAGTTAAATTTTCAATTGTCTACTAAAGCTTATTTATTTTATAGTCGTTAGCAATTAAAAAAAATAAATTGCCTTGAATTTTAATTATGTCTAATTTTATATTTTATTTGGCAACAGCATTGATATCATAATAATTGTCAATTTATAAAAATTTATGAATGTACTAAACTCTTAAATGAAAAAACTAGAATTTATTCATCCATGTGCCAACAAATAACCCACTATATTTATTGATTTTATGTGACTTTTAAGATAATGGATATCAAATCAGTTATTAGAAATAATTATTATAAATGTCGTGTGCATACCTAAATAAAATGATTTAGAGAATCGTTTCTTTTTCTTTTTCTTTATACATGTATAGTATATATATTTTTGAAATCATTAAGACTTTATAATGAACAACGACTTAAGCATTATAAGCAATAATCTTGAGATACACTATTACATATTTGAAGGAGTTTTGAAAGATTTTAGATGTAATCTTAAACCTTGCTGTTTTTAAAATGTTTCCATAATGTCCACGTGACTGAAATCAAATTTATCAATATATAATAATATTATTAGAGACCGGGTTGAATATTGGTTATTGTATTGAATGTTATTATTTGTCTCCAAAGCATTTTCCAATCTTTTCCCTACATATTCTTAACGAACATATTATAAGTTTTTTGTATATATGTATACCTTTATATGACTTAATTTTAAATTTAGCCATACATATAATGTCATGACCTGGCCTATAAAATTTATTACTTTCACTTGGAGAAATACTCCTAAATTAAATTGTATTAAATTATTATTATTGATAAACCGAAAAACAATTTTATATTTAAAAGTTTAACTTTTAACAGCAGGACACGTGAACATAAGATCGGCCGAATATTCACTCAACATTTTACCTCTAGCTCAAAAAGTACCCGGATTTTGTAAATAAAACACAAATTTAAATTTTATTCTGAATTTATTTTATCTCCTTCAAAATATGCTCCTTCTGAAGCGATACACATATGCCAACGCTTTACTCAATCTTCCACACACTTTTCGTAGGCCAGTGCAGGTATGGCTTTTAGTTCCTTCGGCGAATTCTCTTCTTCCGATTCAATCGACTCAAAACGCTTACCACGAGAGGGCAATTTTTCGGGAACAGGAAAAAGTCGCACGGTGCCAGATCTGGCGAGTATGGTGCCTGAGCGATGACAGTGGTGCCGTGTTTATGTCAAAAAATCGCGTACAACAAGAATTTTCCATAGTAAAAATCGCTAAATGCACTTGAGATAGTCTCACATTAACAGCTGCTGTAATACTTTTTTACTGCCGGATACTCTTTGAGCAGAAGGTATATAGTGTCAAGTATTAGCTTCTAAGTCAATTGAATTAAATTTAAAATAAATATCTATTTTCAAATGAAAATTAAATATTTGTCAACATAAATGAAATCGGATAATTCAGACAATAAATTGAAATAAAATATGCAAAAATAATTCTTAAGGGTGTTTCTGAGATCCATTCATTCATATGTATATCTAATCAAAAAAATTTGGACTAAATTGCCATCTATTAATCATAAATTTTGCTCTTATAAAAGCACATAACTGCTACTTGAATTTGTGCTGATAATTATCTCAGGAACCTATATTTTGCAAACAATTTTAAAAACAACAAATTTTTTATGGAATTGAAAATATTCGTCATAATATCATTGCATTTCCACATAAACAAAATCCCGAGTGTTAACTTGCATCCACCAAACAGACATGTAGTACCCATTTATTACACCACATAGTCCTAGTAAAAACCCCAATTAAAATAACAGCACTCTTTAAACCATTATGCTGATATCACAATATGTTAGTAACTTCCTTAAAGCAACATAAGGATTATATAAGAT